CCATTACATCATCATAGAAATTACACCCAATGAATCCTTTTAAAAGTTTAATTATATAATTTGAAGTGAAATAAACATTAACCTTCACCATCTTGCAAACTCCATTATAATTTATACGACATGGACCATTGGGTTTAGCCATTAGACGGTTAGTTGCATAGCTTCCTTTTCGGACCCCGCTGAACATGATTATAACCTTCATGAAAAGAAAATGCAAAACTTTAAAATAAATTGAAACACCAAAATATTAAAATCAAGAAGCATGAACTACGCTAATTGTATCCTTTCTTGTTTTGTATTGTTATGAAGTAATCTTGTTACTCATATGAATCTAGAGGCAATGATTAGATCATCTTCATATGTAATATTTTTCATTCCAACCAAAATCATAATTATAGAATATAAATTTGGACAATAAGAAAGATGAAAATGAAGTAATATTTCTTACCATAAACTTTCATATTTCCTTCTCATCATCATCTTCCTCTTTGTTATTACTTATGCTCTCCATTGACAGTCTTTTTGTATGGAGTTTCTAATCTACATCTCAACCACTCACACAACTCTTTAAACCATTCTAATAAAAATCTACCATTGTGAACTATATATATATATATATATATATATATATATATATATATATCAATTTTAATCAATTGGTGTCATAAGAACCATTAAGTATCATAAGTTAAAAAACTATTGAGTGGTAGTTATTAATTAGATGCTAGTGAAAAGTTATGTACGTTTTAAATAGATATTATGGAATGATTATTATAAGGAAATATGAAAATACATGGAAGTTTCAAATGATTGTGGTGATAGAAAAAATACCTCCTTTATAAGTATAACTAGGCGAATCCCCGCGCGTTGCGCGAGCATAGAATTATATAGTTAAAATAATAACTTTTACCAAATTACTATTTAATATTTCTACTTTGAAACAAAATGTTAGTAGTAAAGCAGACATATAGTTAACATATTAGTTTTATTAAACATTATAGTTTAATTTTGAAGTCATTGTGATATATACAATTATTTGATAATTTTAGAAACCGTTTAAAATTGTGTAAATTATATATCAAATGAATGATAATATAACGGGTAACAAAACGTATGAACAAAATATGAAATGCAACTTTTAGTAACATAAAATAGAAAAACATCTATATAACATTTGTATTAAAAAAGATATATATACAACGAATAATAAAAAATATGAAAAATAAACACTATAACTTTTAATAACATAAAAACACTAAAACATCTATTATAACATTTATATTAACTCTTCATATTTAAATCACAAATCTCTTCAAATACATTAATGTTTTTAATGAGCAAAACTTTACAACCTTATAAAAGAAAGGAAAATAAAAAAGTTATTAGTGATTACTAATTAATAATCATAAGTTAAAAACTCTTGAGTTGTAACTAATAAATATATATAAATTATAAAACTTTTGAGTTGTAGTGTGAGTTTCAAATAAATGCGGTACTTGGAAATGTATATTTATTATTATTATTATTATTATTATTATTATTATTATATTCGTTTAAATAATTGGTTTTGATGCATCATTTTAATCCCTTCAATTATTAAACATAAAGATATTTAGTTATAAATTTATAACATACATAGGTGCATATACATGTTAAACAAATCACATATAATATGTATATTTTCGTAAATGTCATATGTAATTTTTGTCGTAATAATATGGATAAATAACTTTCATATGAAGAACATATCATGATAAGTCTATCATAATTACATATCAAATGTTCAAAATTATGTTATATTTTAAATATTGTCTTTTAAATATGTTGTGTAGGATAACCCAACAAAAAAATAATAGAAAATAAATATAATCAAAATAGAAAAACTACAATCAAATAAATAAGAGCATTGGGTGGTTGAATATATAAATAAAGATGTTACATAAACATACATTTAAATCAAATAAAAAACTAATATTCGTCAACTTTGCTCAAACAAAAAAATCTATATCCATTTTATGAATCTTCTTTCTTCTTTTAACACCATTCAACCATAGAAACTTGATGACAATTCTTCACTAACCTGCAATCAAAATATTTTTCTTGAAAAAGAAGAATCAGAAAGATATTCCAAGCAAAACATTGATGTTTGGAGAGTCACATTCAAGATGGAGTAATACACACAAATCACATATAAAGATTAAATGAGAAACTGAATATAAAGAAAGAATAGAAAAGCTTCATTTGTTTTGGTTGAAAGAAAAAAATCATATTACAATTACCATCGATGCGACATAACCTATTTCTTCAAATCATCATATTTAGATTGTGAATGCTTCAACTATATGAAAACTTTTGAATCACAATATCTTCAAATCCTTCTTACATGTAAGATTTTATATAACACAAAATACTGTCCTTTTTATAGTAAACTTTTCACTAAATGCTAATTAAACATAATATAAGTTATAAAACTTTTGAGTGTTAAATCATAATTAAGAAAACTTTTGAGTTGCATTAGTTAAAAAAGGGGGTTTCAAATGAATGTGGTTTGAGAAAGTTAAAAAAATGGGTTTCAAATGCATGAGATTCAAGAAAAAATGCTAGCTTTATAAGTATGTATGATATGACTTTAGTCAATAGGTGTCATAAGAACCATTAAGTATTATAAGTTAAAAAACTATTGAGTGATAGTTGTTAACTAGATGCTAGTGAAAATTATGTACATTTAAATAAATCTTATGGAATCATTATTATAAAGAAATATGAAAAGACATTGAAGTTTCAAATGATTGTGGTGATAGAAAAATGCATCATTTATAAGTATATTATGATTTTAGTCAATTGGTGTCAGAAGAACCATTAAGTATCATAAGTTAAAAAACTATTGACTGATAGCTGTTAATTGGATACTAGTGAAACGTTATGTCTGTTTAAATAGATATTATGGAATCATTATTATAAAGAAATATGAAAAGACATGAAAGTTTCAAATGATTGTGGTGATAGAAAAATGCATCCTTTATAAATATAGTATGATTTTAATTAATTGGTGTCATAAGAACCATTAAGTATCATAAGTTAAAAAACTATTGAGTGGTAGTTGTTAATTAGATGCTAGTGAAAGTCATGTAGGTTTAAATAGATATTGTGGAATCATTATTATAAAGAAACATGAAAGACATGGAAGTTTCAAATGATTGTGGTGATAGAAAAAATGCCTCATTTATAAGTATAATATGATTTTAATCAAGTGGTATCATAAGAACCATTAAGTATCATAAGTTAAAAAACTATTGAGGAGTAGTTGTTAATTAGATGCTAGTGAAAAGTTATGTAGGTTTAAATAGATATTATGAAATCATTATTATAAAGAAATATGAAAAGACATGAAAATTTCAAATGATTGTGGTGATAGAAAAAATGTCTCCTTTATAAGTATAGTATGATGATTTTAATCAAGTGGTGTCATAAGAATCATTAAGTATTATAAGTTAAAAAACTATTGAGTGGTAGTTGTTAATTAGATGCTAGTGAAAAGTTATGGAGATTTAAATAAATATTATGGAATCATTATTATAAAGAAATATGAAAAGACATAAAAGTTTTAAATGATTATGGTGATAGAAAAAAAGCTCCCTTTATAAATAGAGTATGATCATTTAAGTGACATAAGTTAAAAAGTTTAGAAGTTTAAAATAAATGTGGTTCAAAATAGATGACATGGTTCATATTTATTTGAATAACATCTTTTATAAAAAGTAGATAGATTTATAACTCAAAATAGGCCCATTATGTATATTCATTGTATCATATGTAGCCCAAAATAGGCCATTCTGCATAGTTATTGTATCTTATGTATTATTGTATTTGTATTTTTTTTAAATTAATGGTAATATTCAGACAAGTACAACTTAACTACTTAAGAATCAGCTTCACTTTTATTCAAAAAATGCTAATGATCGTAGGAAATAAAAGATAAGAACGATGGGTGGTACAAGATTTGTGGTTATATATTTGAGGATACCATCATGACGATACAAATTCAAAATTAAAATTTTTAATACAATTAGGAACTAAAGTTGATACCGTCTTATACACTCAAAAATGCAAATGTAGAGGTTGCAATTGATTTGTATTCCTTTCGAAATCATAGTTTCCAAATTATAAATAAATAATTTTTTATTGTGTACATTTTTTCTAACATGCTTTACCTTTCCGGTTTGAAGTGCTTTTATTAAACTTATTTTAAGAACAACAGAAAATTATAGGCATGTATGATTCAGTAAGTGGTTATACCTCCACCCTTCCCCCCACACTACAACACACAACACATCACAACACAACATTGCTTTATGTTTGGCTAACTAAAATGAGTACTTTATGCATTGGCAAAATTCTAAAAACTTGAACATATTCTACTTCGTTATAGAATTGAGCTAGGGAAAAAACAATTGGTTCCGAAAATATTCTTGAATCTCCTTTATTGTAGATGATTTGTTGCAGTAATTGTGACCCAAAAATATATGAAGTGAGATCAAACGAGTCAATTTGATTGTGATTTGGTGTGAAAAGATATCCACAAAATGATCCTATTTATATGCTATTGACTAATTAAATCTTCACATGAAGATTTGATTATATCCACAAATTAAGCCCCATGACTGGCATACATAAACACAAGCAGCACACTAATTTCTGTATCTTGCATGAAAAAATCTTTGTCTGAAACGAAACAACTTCAGTGATAGTGTCTTGGTTGTCTGTAGTGATTTTGGAGCTTTGTTTCGTTTCTATAGTTTACTCAAAGATTTCTTATATATCACACGTTTGTTCACAAATCCCAATTGTATTTGAGAATTTTTTGAGTACATTGCTATTCATTTGAACCATCAGTACTGTTTTGGGGTTGCTACACTGAGTTGAAATCTGAGATTAATTATTTTTGTAGCAATAATATGGCCTTAAACCTTCAAATATTGTTGATGATCTTGGTTTCGATGATGTGTTTGTTCATAAACTCCTTTTCATGTTCTAACCAGACACTCCCTGCTAAAACTAGCAATCTTGCCGGTTTTAAACCAGCTTTAGCAACTTGGTATGGAGATCGACATGGTGCTGGAAGTGGTAATGCATCGCAACATATTTTTATTTATTATTTAATGAGCTTATTATACATAAAAAATTATTTAGACTTTGAAGTGCACATACACTTACATTAAAAAACACACATACACAAACATGTGTCCACACAGATTATATACATACATTTATATGTACACATATTTATTTTAATTATTTCAATCACATTAGTTATTATTAATAAGAAATTATCTATTAGATCTCGTTATTATCAATCGAGCCTCTACAACCTGATTTTCTTGATTACGCAGGAGGAGCTTGTGGATGGGCTAATGATGTGAAATCAGCTCCATTCTCAGCCATGATAGCAGCAGGAAACGCCAACTTGTTTTTGGAAGGAAAAGGGTGTGGGACTTGTTATCAGGTAATGCAGAGTTAAAATTTTCAACAGACTAATTCAAGCCATGTAATTACATTTAATATCTCAGGTCTTATGCACTAAAGAGCCATATTGCTCTAAGAATCCTATTACTGTAACCGTAACCGATGAGTGCCCTGGTGAATGTAACAAAGTTCCATTCGCTTTTGATTTAAGCGGAACTGCTTTTGGTGCAATGTCAAGTCCAGGCCAAGCTGATAATCTGCGTAATCTTGGCCAAGTTAACATTCAATATCGAAGGTGCATAAAATAAGCAAAACTTTTAATTAACCTAATGTCTTGTAATATCTTACATTTCAATTTGTCTTGTTTACATATGTAGGGTAGCATGCAACTATGGTAGCACAAAAATTGCGTTCAAGATAGATCCAAAGGTCAACCCATACTGGTTCGCTATGGCAGTAGAGTTTTGTGAGGGAGATGGTGGTCTTGACGCAGTCGAGGTAGCAGCAAATGGTTCACAAGAGTTCAGATGCATGGAGAACATATGGGGCGCAGTTTGGGCAGTCAGCATTGATCCATCATTTCGTGGTCCATTTTCATTCAGGCTATTCTCTAGAAAGAACGAAGGAGTTGTTGCGTTGAAGGCAATTCCATATAGTTTTGTACCTGGACAAACTTATTACTCGCATGTCAATTTTGGAGTCTAGAATCGAACTAAGTCATGACATGTATCATTGAGTTCTAGATGCTCTCATTTAGGGAAAGTAATCTGTCTAGGGAAGGTTGGTTTTGTGCCTTTTTAGCTCCATTATTTCTAGGCAAGTTTCGTTAGCAAAAGACATTTTGTTCGTTGCAAACTGATCATTTTTCCTTCTTAAATGCAAACAATGTTAGAATAAACTCTACCAACCAAGAAGATTTTTTGTACTGCGAAACATTTTATTAATAAAACAGGGGAGTAGCTAGTAGCTAAAGCAGACGACGCCGATTTTACAAACTGAAAACACACCTAAAGCAAGCTTTTATTTTGTATGGAAAATTGGCAATTATGACTATAGTAGGGTTGTTGCACCACCTGTACCATGCACTCCAATTTACAATCATTTCAGCTGAAAGAGCATGATACAAACCCAAACAGCAACAGCCCAACTGGGATACAACACAGGCCCAAGAGAGTGATCCGTAAACCCAACCGATTCCTAGATTAGAAACACGTGCAGGGGAAGAAGTCATAGTCAAATTAGTGTTCCTGTTTTTCAGTATCATGGCTGTTAATTAGGCCACGTAGTTGCATGCATGCATAAGGTCTCTGACCATTTCCTTTCTAGAAGTCCAGTAGTTGTCTCAGGCTATTTAAGCAATTGTAATTTCTTTTGATTGGATCAGGAAAAAAAAACCAGAAAATTGCTCCATTATCTGTCTTTTTCTTTGGGAGATTTGCCTTCTCTAACAGGCATACATCAATTGGTGCTTTCATCCAGCCTTACAATGCCTCCCAAACCAGAGCAAAAGCCAGACGATCCTCTTCCCATTCAAGAACAATTACAGGCTCTACTCCATCTCACCACTGCTACTAACACAAGACTCGATACCCTTACCACTAATATGACAAACCTGGTCAATCTCATCACCAACCAGCATATCAACCAACCACCCCCACCTCCACCGCCACCCCCACCCAACCACCAACCTCGTCCCCCCAAAATCTCTCTACCCAATTTTGACGGCTCTAACCCGTTAGACTGGATCTTTCAAGCCAACAACTATTACGATTACTACAACATACCAAACAACCAAAGAGTACCCTTGGCTGTCTTTTACTTCACGGGAGATGGCCTCACACCGGTTGCCATCCGCAACTGCTTCATATCCGGGTTACGCGCCGATATACAGAGTGAAATCGCCATACAAAACCCCACCACGCTCCACCAAACATATGGGCTTGCTAAGTTAATTGAAGACAAACTCGCCAACAAACCTCGTTATACAGCCACCAAATCGTGCCCCACTACATTCACTCAACCCACAATTATCCCATCACCGATAACCATCAAACCAACCCCCACTGCACCCTTGTTACCCAACCCACCAACACCAAACACCCTTCCTTTCACTCGTCTCTCTCCAGAAGCCCTCCAAAAACGCAAAGCAGAAGGATTGTGTTTTCGATGCCCAGCCCAAATACAGCCCTGGTCACAAGTGCAACCCACCTCAATTCTTAATGATAGTTGACAACGAAGATGAACAAACCACAAACCAATTTTCTGGGGGCGAAACAGACATTAACCAGACAAATGGGACATCACCGGATCACTTTTTCTCACTTTCTACCGCCGCCTTCTATGGTTTGTCCTCACCCCAAGCATTGCGCGTCACAGGATACATCCATAACCAACCAGTGAAGGTTCTCATAGATTCCGGCATCACACACAACATTATACAACCCCGCATTGTCGCTTCGTTACAACTGCCCCACACTGAGATATCGCCATTCACGGTTACGGTGGGCAATGGTGACAATATCCAATGTCAAGGTTTTTGCCCCGACGTACCCATCTACCTTCAAAACGCCAAACTGTCTATCCCGTTTTTTGTGTTACAGGTAGAAGGAGCCGACGTCATACTAGGGGTAGCATGTTAAGCACCTTGGGCCCCATCTTAGCTGATTTCTCCATTCCACAGATCACTTTCAACATTGGGCCCACCTCAATCACCCTTAAAGATGAGCCCATCTCTCAGGCGGCATCTCCCACTAATGTCCACAACTGGATACAAAAAAAAAGTGTAGCAGCCCTTCATGCACTATACTTTAATTTTGAACCCCATACAGCCGAGACCCAAGCAATACAACCAAACCATGATAACCCTACTATCGCCAATCTACTCCAGAAATACGCTAACATCTTCCAAATTCCCAATTCCCTCCCACCCCATCGTTCACAAGACCACCACATACCCACCCTTCCAGACGCTTCACCAGTCAATATCAAGCCATACCGATACCCGTATTATCAGAAGCAAATCATGACAACTCTCATTGCCGATATGCTAAAAGACGGAATTATCAAACCCAGCACCAGTCCATACTCTTCGCCAATTCTCTTGGTACGCAAGAAAGATGGTACCTGGCGCTTTTGTGTTGACTATCGAGGCCTAAACTCCATCACCGTGAAATACTGCTTTCCAATTCCCACAGTCGATGAACTCCTTGACGAGCTACATGACGCAATAATTTTTTCCAAAATTGACTTACGTGCAGGTTATCATCAAATACGGGTGGCCCCGGGCGACACCCACAAAACAGCCTTCCGAACAGTTGACGGACATTACGAGTTTCTCGTAATGCCATTCGGCCTTTCCAATGCTCCGTCTACATTCCAGTCCACCATGAATGAGCTGTTCAGAGATGCCTTAAGACAATACGTGCTGGTCTTCTTTGATGATATACTCATCTACAGCTCATCCATCGATCTACACTACAACCACCTAGCATAGGTCCTTGAAAGACTGGCTCAACACCAGTTTCACGCCAAAATGTCGAAGTGTACATTTGTTGTGGATAAAATCAATTACTTGGGTCACGTTATCTCAGCAGGAGTGGTGCAAACAGAACCTGACAAGTTAGAAGCAATCCAAAAGTGGCCCGTCCCAAACAACTTAACCAAATTACGTGGTTTTCTGGGTCTTACAGGTTATTACCGGCGGTTTGTTCCAAACTATGCATCCATTGCTTCCGGTCTAACAGATATTCTCCGGCAACCCAAATTTATGTGGACAACCGAGGCAGCCAAAGCCTTCACCCTCCTTAAAGACTCCATGGCCAAGCTTGCTTTACTCACCCTTCCAGATTTCACACACCAGTTTGACGTCACCACGGACGCCTCCAATATTGCCATTGGTGCTGTCTTGTCACAACGAGACCGGCCAATAGCATTCTTTAGTAAACGATTATGCCCTCGTATGCAGGTTGCTTCCGCTTACGTACGCGAACTCTTTGCCATCACAGAAGCAGTGAAGAAATGGAGACAATACTTGATCGGTCGAAGGTTTCGTATTTTCACAGATCAACGGAGCTTGAAACATCTACTCACACATTTTGTTCAAACCCCAGAACAGTACAAGTGGGCTCCAAAGTTACTTGGCTACGATTTTGAGATCATCTATAAACCGGGCAAAGAGAATTTAGTCGCGGACGCTCTCAGCAGAATTGAACAACCACAACTGTTAGCTCTTTCCTCTAGCAATCCAACTTGGCTGGTAGAGCTACGTCTATTCTACACAACCACAGAAGGGCAGACCCTTATTTAAACAATCCTTCAAAAAGCAACAAGTTCAGACACCTTTCATGTTCACGATGGGTTGCTTTACCATCACCAACGGCTATATATTCCGGAGGTTCAAGCGAGCATCCGCCAATCACTCCTCCACGAGTACCACTCCAGCCCCCTTGGCGGACACTCGGGCATTCTTCCAACCGTCAAACGGATAGCAGCAAATTTCCTCTGGCCCAAATTGAAAGCAGATGTCATCTCTTTTATTCGGAATTGTGCTACTTGTCAACAAATCAAATCACCAAACCACAAGCCGTATGGTCTTCTACAGCCACTTCCCATACCTACCATGGTTTGGCAATACATCTCAATGGATTTTATAACCCATCTCCCACCATCAGCCGGTAAAACAACGATTTGGGTGGTCATCGACCGATTCTCGAAAACAACCCACTTTATGGCATTACCAACTCATTTTGGTGCAGTCACCTTAGCCTCGCTTTTCCTCACAAACATCTACAAGCTGCATGGAATACCGAAGACCATTGTGTCGGATCGAGATTCTATCTTCCTTAGCTCTTTTTGGAAAGAGCTCTTCAAGCAACTGGGCACTCAACTCCGGTATTCAACGGCTTATCACCCACAATCAGACGGCCAAACAGAAGTGGTTAATCGTTTTCTCCAAAATTACCTTCGATCATTCGTGAGTGACGAACCTCGTACATGGACCAAATTCTTGTACTTAGCAGAATTTCGGTATAACTCCTCTTACCACAGTGCCATCGGTATGACACCATTCCAAGCCCTATATGGCAATGTTGTACCAGATCTCCATCACTGTCATGCCACCACCACAATCTCTCCTACCATTGATGCCACTCTCAAAGAACACCAGCGCATACGCACACTCCTCAAAGACAACCTGCGACGGGCACAACAACGCATGACAGAATTGGAAAACTCTCACAGGATGGACAAGGAATTCACTGTTGGTGAGATGGTCTACCTCCGTCTACGGGAGTATCGACAGAAGTCAGTGCACTCACGTGACACAAAAAAACTCACAAAAAGGTATTATGGGCCCTTCAAGATCTTGGAACGAATTGGTATGGTGGCCTACCGCCTCGACCTTCCACCCGAAGCCAAAATTCATCCCGTTTTCCATGTGTCTCTGCTTCGACCTGCTCATGGGAATCCTACTCCAATACCCATCCCAAACACACTACAAGAAGAGTTTCCAGTTACACCAAAATCCATCCTCCGACATCGTCAAGAAGGTCTTACTACACAAGTATTGGTCGAATGGGATGGACAACCTGAGAAAGAAGCCACATGGGAATCCTTCGATGATTTTCGCCTTCGTTTTCCCACCTTCTGTGTCAACAACCCAGCTACATCATCGCTCGAGGACTAGCTCGTTGCAAAGGAGGAGGCAA